TATGGGGTGCGTATAGCTGCCTTGGCTCCTTCGTACATATCCCTCACCAGAGAGATGAGGTGTTCTGGCACATTCCGCTCCCTAAGCGCTCTCCATAGTACTGCTCGTGGTAGCCGGTCGAACGCCTTCTCCAGGTCGAGGAAGGCTAGGTAGCAGGGTCGGCGCTTTTCTCGATACTTCTCCATCACTTGCCTTGCGATGAAGATGGCATCCGTTGTGGACCTTTCGGGCATGAACCCGAACTGTTCCTGGGAGATCGGGACCAGCTCCCGCAGTTTCGAGTCGACCAGTCGCTCGTACAGCTTCATTGTATGCGCAGTCAACTTGATCCCGCGGTAGTTGGAGCAGTCCATCGCGTCACCCTTCTGCTTGAAGATGGGGACGATAGTGCTTGTTCTCCAGGCATCCGGCATCCTTCCTTCGGCAGTCACCGTATTCAGGAAGCGGGTGAGCCACCTCACCCCGTGCTCTCCCAGGGCCTTCCAAGCCTCTATGGGTACTCCATCCGGACCAACTGCCTTTCCAACCTTCATCTTCCCAAGTGCACACCGAACCTCATCCTCTGTCCAGAGCAGGGTCAACCCTACGTTGTTACTAGTAACAACGGGGGGGTCGTACTTGGTTGAGTTTGTAGGAGGGGGGGGTCGTATCCGTTTCAGTCGTTTGAAACCACATGTGAGTTTGAGGTGAAACTGTTGAGGGGCGTAGGAAAAAAGTTGCCGTTTCAGCGCGCGTATATATCCCCCCGCTCGACGGCATTTTTGGAGGAAAAAGTGGGCGGAGTTTGGTGGGTTGAGTGGTATCAGAATTAAATACTATAGAGACGATGATGGTGGTCGAGGTGTGGAAAAGGGGGTCGTATCAAATCCACCTTGGGGGAGGGGGGTCGTAAAAATTTTTCAAAAAGTAACAACGATAGGGTTGACCCTGGTCCAGAGTGCGATGGGACCAGCTGTGGCCTCTGCCCCGTGAGTTGTTCTCGTGGGAGAACTCCTCGTTCAGAAGACCTCTGAAGTACTCTTCCCACCTCCTCCGAACTTGGGCTGGCTTCCTCAGTATGGCGCCGTTGTTGCTCTTCACGCTCTTCACCACCCTGATATCTTGAGTAGCCCGATGCCGGGCTTTGGCCAGTCTGAAGACGAACTTCTCTGCGTTTCTGCTTTCCAACTTCTCGTACAAGGCGTCCATCTCTGTCGCCGAGTGTGACGGCGGTCTCAGGGGGCTAAAACACCCTCTCTTTAAAACGAGAAGCGTCGGATGCAGGGCATGCACCGTAAGTGACGACGGCCTTCAAGTAATCTGGTTAGTAGTTTCATAAGTGATAGCTGTTTCTTAGTAAATGACAGCTGTAATTAGTGACAACTAATAGAATATGACTGCAACAGCTAATCATTTCATTGGCAGAAAACAAACCTTGTGTGAAGGCCTGTCGTCATTTGGTGTGCATGGTCTGTACCCGAAGCTCTTCTCGTTTTTTGAAAGGGACGGGACTTCTGTGGTATATTCCTGAATGAAAGGCTTTCACGTTGAAAGGAAGCCATTGTTCATCAACCTACTATGAAAGCCAGGCTCGGATGAGAATAACTCTTTTATCCAAATATCTGGAAAGAGATGTATCTGTTAGAGATGGCCGGTTATTCTTCATAGGACAGTTACCATAGACTTGGCCAGTGATAAAATGTTATTTTGTTTACAATGGATTTGTTATATTGAGTGATAGGTAGGCTATGGCCTATAAAAGCCTCACTAGTTGGTATGTCTCTAATTGTTCGTCCGTGCTCAATAAAGCACTTACCAGGAAAGGTCATTAGGCCAACCCGGCCAAATGAAATGAGGTGCACATTTCTGTACGCAACATGAGACGCTGAACTCAAATCTGCTTTCACTATCTGCTGAACTCTTCTCTGAAAGGAGTTACGGAGGGTTTTTGTTGCCGCCCTTGATTTTCAGTGTCTTGCCTGCAATCACATGTAGCCACATAAGCCGTAATTATCTCACGTTGTAAGGCCCTTCCCGCCCAGGGTGAATATCGCTTGAGGATTCCTCAACGGCACGTCGAGGATTCTCTGCCCGATCAGAGACGATCTCTCGCGCGGACATTCACACTCGCCATGCCGTGCCGTCTGTGCTCTCCGCGCGGATGTTCACTCTCGGCACTACTCTCGCATGGTAGAGAGCTATGGTCGAGGAAATCCTCGACCGTTATTCACCCTGCTACCGCCACTGCCGCGTCATTTGAAGCCGTGACAACAGATGCATAAGATGTGATAATTGCGCGCCTACCTGTTCTCATCCGCAGTATTAGATTGTTCTCGATCATGAGCTTGTCCAGTTTTCTGTTGACTTGTTGAAACAAATTGTCCGTGTTGTAGGACAAATTGCAAAACTTAAGAAGTACTATTTTCACAACGTTGTCGTTCCTACTAAGTGTACCTCCATCTGGCACGACCGAAACCCCTCCACGTCGCTGATGGCGAAGCTGCAAAATATTAATAAGATTTCAACAGGTGTTTACGGGCTTGATGTGAGAGGCACTCCTAACTAGGAGAGGTCATAAAGCCAACCCGGCCAATTGAAATGAGGTGTACATTTCCGTACCCGTCTGGAGACGCCAAATCTGCCCTCCGTATCTGCTGAACTCTTCTCTGAGAGGAGTTACGGTGGGTTTTCGTTGTCGCTCTTGATTTTCAGTGCCTTGCCTGCAATCACATGTTACCTGCATTATGAAAGTATCGAACAGAAAACTGAGGACTTGTGGAATGGGTCTATCGATGGCGCCATTATTACGCGGTCGTGCTCCATGAAAGGCGTCGAGGGTTCGAACCCTGCCAGGGTTTGATGTCTTGCTTTTTTCCAACATGGCGAAGGAGCCTTTTTGAATCCATTCTTTTATCAACGATCGCCCGATACTACATCTACGAAAAGTTTGCAAGCAGATCCTCTCAAGTTCAAGCACTACTTGCCTGTGAGTGCCCATGGTGCCCGTAGTGCAGGTGCTATGCTTTTCCGTGGCAAGTAGGTACGATATTCGTATTCAGGGGATCAAACTACCCCTAAAAACGGGTTTCTTGCGAAACCTGAGGTCATGAACTAATTGAGAAAAAGCGGAGCAGTGATGGGATTACCACTCCTCAAACTCCACTTTTTTGGGCTGACCAATCATGGACGACGGGGGAAAGGGGAGAGATGGTGTTGTATTAGGGAAATAATGGTTTGCAGATCTTTGGATGATGCAGACGGGCAAGCCAGACACAATTTTTGTCTATTATGAAAGTTTTGGAAAGATTTATTCTACCCAAGTGCCAGCCTTTTGTAATGGATTGGTGGATCGGTAAGTGACTGCCCAAATTTTCGAGGTTAGGTCAAAATTTCAGAATTCGCTAGAAGTTCGCTCAAAGGGAGAGTCTGACTCCCTGATTACGAATATCATACTTGTTCGAAGCAAAAATGCCTGGCGCCTGCGCTACAAGCGCCCAAAGTAGTGAGGAGCGATGCCGCCCAAGTTCGTTATTAATTGCCCTTAAATTCTTTGTACTGTTAACTATACGCAAGCATGTTGGACTAGCGATGTTAGGAGTCTTCCTAGCTATCTTACTGCAAACGGCAAAAGAACAAACTCGCCAGGGAGTTGATCCCCTGACCTCTTTTTCGTGAGCCTCGACCACAGCCCCTGCGCTTTTCTGCTTCATAATTCCTTTCAGAGAAGAGTTCAGCAGATAAGGAACACATATTTGAGCTCAGCGTCCCAAGGCGCGTATACACATATACATCTCATTTCAAATGGCCGGGTTGACCAAATGACCTTTCCTGGTTAGTGCAGAGCTGTTACACTGGCGATAAGAATCGGCTCTCCAGGAGGCAGCAGCAGTACGCTTTTAGGATAAACATGCCGAGCACGTTCCAGTGTCATCATGACGATGGACGCACCGCAATGGCTCCAGTTCCTAGCGGCAGAACCAACAGCTTCAGCAACAGAACCAGCAGTTCCAACAGCAGAACCAGCACATCAACGAGCTCCTGGCAACTCTTGTTGAATAAAGGTGGGATTTTCACAATCACCTAATAAAGTTTCGTCGTGTCGTCTGATGCATATACGGTGGTCTTGTGCAAGATCTACCCGCAACTTTGACGAAATTATTCGGGCTGAAGAAGACCCTCATCCGCCGACGATTTGATTACTTGCAGTCAAACCTGCCCTCCCCTCTCTCCCCCCCCCCCCCCCCAATATGCGGAGTAGCACTGGTGAACTCTAAACTGCGACTATCGGAAATTTGAAGAGGCATGCATGAAGGATGTCGACAGTGAGTCGCTCAAATGTCTTGTCTTCGTTTCTAGACTTCACGGATACTTTGCACTCAGAAATGCGCCTTCGTCTACTGATAAAATCGCCTCAAGAGGAATGACCCCCTACCCGTCCTCGACGACTTCATCAGCGAATGCGAAACGTTCGTCACTCTGCGGTCAGACAACCGAACAATGGAAACCAAAGAGATCAATGCGGTTATTGGACGAAAACCAATGAACAAGCAACGCCATCCAAAGCATGTGAGTTTCAGAAGACGCTCTAATTCTAACGAAAAGGAAGCTAGTAGAGATAAGCCGAATCGAAGAAAGCTTGTCAAGACGAAAAACCAGATACAAATCTCTGAGACGAAAGTTTCGATGCAAGAATGTCGTCGTTGCTGCTCAAGATGCACGAACACTATGAAAGTGCATATAAATGGACAACCCGCTCGTCTACAGCTCGACACTGGCGCAGATATCACAATGATCTCTCGCAAAACATGGAACAAAATTGGTCTCCTGCCCTGAGTCCAGGCATCACAACAGTGAAAGACCGCTGATGGTTCACCAATGAATATCCAAGGATGCTTCGAAGCCGACTTTACAATTTTCGATCGCCATCATCATCCTGTATCCGGACGAGGAAATTGTTACGTCACAGAAGCAACCGATCTCCTAGGATTGGAATGGTGTATTCAGATGCCAGACTACCGTCAGCTCAAGGATCAGTATAACTGCCGACAAGCAGCTGTAGCACTCGACAACAACCGTCACGAGCTTGTTGCTCACTTGAGGACACAATTCGCAAATGTATTCGCTCCAGGACTCGTACGCTGTACTTAAACGAAAGGAAAGCTATTCCTTGAGTCAGCTGTCAATGCTGAAATCGATCGTTTACTTTAGGAAGGGGTTCCTACAGCCGTCGATCATTCAAACTGGGCAGCACCGATTGTAGTCGTGAAGAAAAGCAATGGCAGTATTCGACTATGTGCGGATTTTTCTACTGGACTGAATGACGTCACTTCCATCAACACCCATTGCCAACAACAGAAGATGTCTTCACAAAACTCAACGGTGGTCAGCTATTTTCACAGAGTCACGTATTCTCAAGGGTGTCCCCCAACAGGCCCACCGCGCGGCGAAGGAAGAGACGCAGACGCGGCAAAGGGACGAGTCGCAGCGCATACTGTAGCGGTTAGGCGTCAGGTTAAAGAGAGTGTACCATACTACGTCTCATATCGCACAGCACGCGCTGCAACTCGTCTCTTTGCCGCATCTGCGTCTCTTGCTTCGCCGCGCGGTGGGCCTGTTGGGGGACACCCATTCTCACAGATCGACCTGGCGGACGCCTATCACAAATAGAAGTGGAAGAAGATTCGAAGGAGCTACTCACTATCAACACGCACCGTGGTCTATTTCGCTACAACCGCCTGCCGTTTGGAGTGAAGTCAGCTCCAGGTATATTCCAACAAATTATCGATGCTATGATAACAGGACTTGACGGAGTAGCAGCTTACCTCACGACATTATTGTAACTGGACGAACTTCAATTGAACATCGTCATAATTTGGAAGCTCTACTACGCCGAATTGAGCAGTATGGTTTTCGTGTGCGTGAAGAAAAATGTCACTTCATGATGCCGGAAATCCGATATCTCGGAAACATCATCGACGCAAATGGTCGACGCCCGGATCCTGACAAGATTCAAGCCATCACAAAAATGCCACGACCGAACGACGTCGCACAACTCCGTTCCTTCCTTGGAATGCTGAATTACTACGGAACTTTCATCCCTGAAATGCGTCAACTTCGTGCTCCGCTCGACGCACTACTAAAGAAGAATGTGCCGTTCAAGTGGTCCCAGATTGCCAGAATGCTTTCGAAAAAGCCAAAGATATCCTGGCCTCTCCGCTCTTGCTCACACACTACGACCCAAAGTTGGATCATTGTCGCAGCCGACGCTTCCGACTACGGCATTGGAGCCGTAATCCTGCACCGCTTCGCAGATGGTTCAGAGAAGGCAATCAGCCACGCCAGCCGAAGCCTCACGGAAACAGAGAAGAAATATGGTCAAATCGAGAAAGAAGGACTTGCCACTAGTCTACGCAGTACGCAAGTTTCATCGATATTTGCTAGGACGCTTTACCCTTCTTACAGGCAATAAGCCACTAGTCTCTATTCTTGGAAGCAAGAAAGGCCTGCCGGCATATACAGCTGGACTGTTGGAAAGTTATACTCAAAATGAGGTTCCTTTTACAATTCATATTGTCAATTCATATTCATTAAAAACACTTCACAGGGTCCACAACATCATTTCTAGGAAGATAGAAATCTCATTCGTCGCTGAGGACAAAGTTTCACCTCTCGCCTTCGGTCCATGTTAGCCGTTAGTGTGCGGAAGCCAGTTGGGCCATCCTGCTCTTGAAGCCCAACAATGGCTTCTTGTTGGGACATCATCCGTAATATTCACCAGGTCGCGGCCGATGTTGGCTGCACTTGGACTTTTTGATATGATTATGTATGATAATGATATGATTATGAAAAAAGAAACTAGAAAAAGTTGTCTCTTGGTTTGGAATGTCGGGGGCATGGGACGTGCCCACAACCTTCCGAAATATTTGAGGAGGGTCAATTTTCTTGTTGGGATCTTTTTGTGAATGATCATTTCTTACTGCTTACTCGACTCCAATAACGCTAGAAACATTGTAAGACTGAATACGGGAGAAACAGTTCAATTCGCACTCAGGATTGTAGGAGTTTTAAAAGCACCACCCCATGGAAAAACTGCTTCCTTTGCATATGAATTCATTTTGAAATTACACATTGCTCAATGGTTTAACTAAAATTAACAGAAACAAGTGAACATTGAAGAGTAGGAATCATAATGATAAGGGAAACAAAAAGTTTCCAAACTTTTGACGCGCCATTACTTGAAAAAAATCTTATTTCTCAAAAAATATGATTATATTTTTGGAAATTGTTCTTCCCGTCGTATTCTGAACTCGATTTTGTATGGAATATCTAAATTTGGGACAATTTCGTTGTGTATCGGCCGCGCTAGATCAAAAATAAAAAAGTTTCCAAACTTTTGACCGCTACTGTACATATGTGTTAACGAAAGTGCAGTCCCTTTTTGCGATCGTGTGACTTTCTTTCAATACATTCACAGGAACTACACAAATACGGCATGTACAAATTATGCAATCGAGGAGTTACACTTCGAAATTCATCGTTAACGACAGAAAGCAGCTATAATAATTCGAACCTGTCCAGAATCGCAGCAGGTTGTCCTATCTCTTATGGCTCCGTACCCTGGCAAACGAAGGACAGTCACGGCCGATAACTGGCTCACACATTGGTGGCACAGAGGACACATTATATCGGCACATTGCGAAAGAATCGAGTAAGAGTTCCCGAAGATTTGAAGAGGAAAAGACTCAAAAGAGGTGAAATTGAAGCCTTATGTCACGGTAGGCCGCTACTGTATGGTCTACCGTATGACCGCGTCGGGTAGGTCTAAGGCTGACCACCAACCGTGTGGTCCGCCTGGACCCTCCTTGACCTACATACACACTCGCCCCTAAACTACCGTTTGAGCGGGAGTTCCCCCTATAAATAGCCACCCAGAAAGTACTAGTTAGTTCTTTTCTAATTGCTCTCGCTGATACTCTCCTGTGCGACAGTCTTGTTATTCGTCGCCCTAATAAAGCTTCGTCCCTTCTCATCGCCACGCTACACTCCAAGGAAACCGAATAGGAATCCGCTTCCCTGCAAGCCGGGAATTGATAGTAAGTCCCGACTTGACCCCGTCCGGTTCCGAGGCTGCTCGTTGAGTTCGGGCTTGTGGAAATAAGGGAGCTATCCGCTACTAATACACGATAGATGTGAAGCACCATTTTGAAATGCAGAGACAGAAGAGAGTTGTATATGTTGTCTTCGCTACACAACAATCCAAGAGGGGCCGCCAGTAAGCCTTGTATGGTCGAAGACTGCAATCGCGTCAATGGATCCGTAGATTTGCCGGACCAAAGGTGTTCTCGTATACGCATTTCGCAAGGAGG